TTAACAACAATTTCACTAACAGTTAAGACTTATTTATTTGCCCAGGCATTCCTGAAGTACCTCATCATTTTAATGGACTTTGTGCATGTATATACAAACATACATATTATACTGTTACATGTTTAATATCACTGTGCCGAAGTTTAGTGGAAATATATATTAATGCATGTGGTTGCCTAAAAACAGTAGCCAAGAGCCTGGCTATTACAGGTAGTCCTCAATTTACAACAGTTTGTTTAGTGACCATTCAAAGTTACAGTGGCATTGAAAAAAGTGACTTATGACCATTTTTCACACTTATGACTGTTGCAGCATCCCCATGGTCATGTGATCAAAGTTCAGATGCTTGGCAACTGGTTCATATTTATGACGGTTGCAGTGTCTGAGGGTCATGTGATCAACTTTTATAGTCTTCTTAAAAAAGCAAAGTCAATGGGGAAGCCAGATTAATTTAACAACTGGGTTACTAATTTAATAGCTGCAACAGTCACTTAACAACTGTGGCAAGAAAAGTCATAAAATGCGGCAAAACTCACTTGACATATGTCTCACTTAGCAACATAAATTTTGGGCTCAGTTGTGGTTGTAAATCAAGGATGACCTGTACTTGGATTGAACCAAAGCTTAAAGCTTGATGAATCAGGGCTGTTAGCTAAACTGCAGAGTTGCAAAATATATCAGAAAAATTAGAAAATAATTCCTTCCACAGCACTGCCGTGAACGGGATCACTAGGAAACGACTTTCACTAAAGGCCATGTTAATGTTTTTATATTATTATATTCATCTTTCAGATTACATAACAATTGGTGTATGATAAAAGTGTCTTCTGAAAGGCTTTAAAGAATAATTAAGATATAATTGGGACTGTAAAAAGTAAAGATATGCGGTTTTCATGATCTTAACTATTCCTCGGACTGATTATTTGGCCGCTTGTGTAAAACACACAATTACCCACTGATCAAATAACAGTTGCACACATCATTTAGTTTAGCACCATACTACTTTTTAAAAGCCCACAAGAGGTATTTGTAATTACACTAACAAGTGTAATAAAATGCAATAAAAGCAAGCTGGATCAAACTGAAACTCTAATGAATGGCAGTTTACGCTTAGTGGGACAATTGAAAAATAATCTAATCATCCAAATTTGAGACAGAATTAGGATTCTTTTCAAAAGTTATGTGAGTTTACAGTCTGAAACAGTAAGGTTTATAGCAGCATTTAAAGAAAGGAATCCAAAATTAAGAGTGCATTTTAAATAATGTTGTTTTCAGAAATGCTAATTAGTTATTGTTGCCATTGAGTTCAGACTGTTGCTACTCAATACTTCTTAATCCAAGTCTACTTCCTTTCATTTGCAAAAGGTCCAGTGTTTAGGATGTAATATGCCACCTTTTTCCTCTTTCCTTCTCTTATGCCAAAAGAAGCTATATTTCTCTACACATACCTGGTTTGATATGTCTTTTAACAGTGTAAATCTTTCATAAAGATACAATTGTCCTAACAGCTAATGAAAAATTAATTCATATCTCCTTTTGTTCCTCTTCACAGTTAGGCCACTGTTAGCTATATATCAGTATACTTCAGGAGTGGGTTCTATCTACCTTTACTACCAGTTCGCAACGGGGCCCCATGCGCGCTCTTCTGCACATGTGCAGAAGCATTTTGATGACGTCGGAGTCGGTGAGCGGAACCTCCCGCCGGTTTTACTACCGGTTCTATAGAACCGGTGTTCTATAGAATGGAACTAAAGCACTGTTATTAACATCTGCTGCTTGCAATTACTGCAAGTTCAAATCTCACCAGGCTCAAGGTTGACTCAGTCTTCCATCCTTTCTAAGGTAGGTTAAATGAGGACCCAGTTTGTGGGGGCAATAAGCTGACTTTGTATAAATATACAAAAGTATGAAGGCTATTGCTTAACGCATTGTAAGCCGCCCTGAGTCTCCGGAGAAGGGCGGCATATAAATTAAAGCAAAATAAATAAATAAATAAACCAGTGTGAACCGGGGCTAACTCACCACTGGTATACTTCTATTTCAATTTCAGGTTAACACATAGCAAAATCTATTAGCAAATCCCTTTATAGTGTTTCTTCTCTTAAACATATCTGACAATGTTCAAACTACTTGAGATGCTAAGTAAAATTCAAAAATAGCCAGATATTTGATAACACAGATTTGGGCAAGTTGTCCAATATCAAAAGTCTTCTACTTAAATATGTGATATTTGCTAGTCTGTAAAGGTGGAGAAAAAACATGCACATTCATTTGCACAAAAACAGAGAAGGTATATAATGCTTGGCATTTATGCTATACAAAAGCAAGTTAATTAATTAGAATTATGGATTATGTTGTGAATTTTCCTTTTGGCCCTGGCCAGGCTTCTTAATTCTGCACTTGTCATACATATTGTGGTTTAAGAAGCAGAAATATGGAAGTACATATTTTGAAAATGAAGAAAATGAAGACCATCAGTTATCAACAGCAGAAGCAGAGCAGATGCTTGGTGCATTAATAGCAGTGTTTGTTGTCACTGGAGGCTTTTAAGAAGACCTTGGACAGTCACTTGTCTGGAATTGTATAGAACCTCCTGCTGGAGCAGGGGGTTGGACTAAAGCACCTCCAAGGTGGCGGCCTGATGCACATGCTTCACTTGCACAAGCAGTGGCAAAGCATGCATGTGCATGCATACGCATCCGTGCATGTGTGCGCACCAGAAGATAGCCATTGTTTGACTGTAAAAACTTGACTGTAAAAAATATGATTTCTGTAATAGAGTTGTCAAAGTCTGGAATGCCCTACCTGATTCAGTTCGTCTCAACTACAAATTTTCATAGTTTCAGTCACAAATTGACTTCCGTGGACCTTACTTCATACTTAAGTGGTCAGCAGAGAGGGCGTGCATAAGTGCACTAATGTGCCTATCGTCCCTGTTATTGTATTTTTATTCTCTTATTCTTGTTCTCGTTTTTATCTGACAAATTCCAATCAATCAATCAATAAATAAAATTGTAACTTTGAAGGGTTGCTAAGCAACCCTTCATAAATCAAGGACTTCATGTATTCTGCCCTCTCAACATCTTTCATATTGGAAAGCAAATTAATAATCATGGTAGTTGAAAGCCTAATTTCTTATCCCAATGCCAAGCTTGTGAAGATAAATAAATGAATGTAAATGCTATTATACTGGTAATCACTTCTTCATGTTTTATTGACAATACTCCATAAGAGCACCAGCGTGCCTACCGTCCCTGTCCTAATGTTCCCTTTAATTGTACTCATTTTATGTATTCATTTCATGCTTATACTTATATATATTATCTAATATGTACTAGACAAAATAAATAAATAAATAAATAAATAAATAATAAATAAATAAATAAATATCTGAGCCCAAATAAAAGAGCAGAAATATCACAGAACAGACAAAATGTAGTAATTATTTTTGTTTCTCAAATGCTGCTGTGTTACACAAAAAGAAAGGAACTGTGCATATTTGTAATTGTATGTTCATAATATGCTGTTTTCATAACACCTCTAAATAACTAAGCCTCTGTCTCCTGATTCGGGGGGGGGGGTCTCTTTGTTTTTGGTATCTTACATTATGAGAAATAATGTGATCAGAAAATAGTTCATGTATGGAAAAGTAAACAAAGACCAAGTTGTGACTTTAAATTGGACATTAAACTAATCCAGGTCTATACCTTAATAAAGGCTAGAGCTGGGAATTCTTATGGATTTTTTAGCTCATTGCTGGGATGACAAAGAAATGCAATAAATGTTCTATTACTTACACAAGCTGTTAGTTTTCAGAAAATTAGTCACCAATAACCTTTTACCCTCTGTACTGCTCTCTTCCACAGTAAAAGGACCTGACCTGAATCAAATGCAACCCGTGGTTTATTTGATTGCTTTTTTTTTCTTCTGATTTATGCTGTTAATTTATGATGCTATTAGATGTTTTAGCCCAAACATTGCATTTTTCTTTTGGAACCTTTTGCAGATAAAAATTTAAGTTTTTGATCATCACTAAAACCACAATAAATCAAAATATTCTATTATAAGAAATAAACTGCAATAAGTGTAAATATAAATTTTTGCTACATGTTGGCGTTTCAGTCTATTGTATTTAACAAAAGTGGGATATGTGTGTGAATATATATGTGAACTTTAACATTTATATTCAGCTGAATGAAACGACACTAACAGGGGTGGAGATGGGGAACATTTACATTATATAGCCCACACCAACTCCATGGTGGAATTATATTGATTAGTTTTCCAGTTAGCATGTAGACCTCCTTCTGACCCTATTTTCAGGGTCACTAGATCATAATGTGATAGTACTGAGAGACTGATGTCCCTCCCATATTGGTTTCTGAGAAAAGTATGGAAGTGGACAGAAGAAATCATGGTCTCGTTTATATATTTATTTCAATATTTTGAAGATATAAATGCATACATAAATTGCATGTGGAATGTAATATCATGGGGCAAGCGAAGAGTCTCTGAATCAATCCAGAGAGACCCTTAAAAATTAAATTGTGGACATAACACACGTAGTCAGATCCAACAGTATTTGAGCAAATCTTTCCCCAGGTGATAATATTTTAAGTGCAAGATGTTTCTTGAACTATTGTTATATACCATCAAATAATAAATCAGATTAAAACTACTTCATTTGTATGGTGATAGAAATGCTTTCTGCTGAACTGAAAAATAAAATTGTAACTGGATCCAGACAACTTGGAGGCCTTCGGGAGAAGACCTTTATTAAGCATAGGGAAAAAGAGGGGGGAAATCCCATCTAAAAAGCACATTCTAGCTTTAAATAATAACCTGAGTCGTCTTTTAGTATCATAGTATCACATGTGCTATATGCTATGTAAACTTTAATTTGTTAAAGTTCCATGGAAACCTCATAACTAATATTTTCCATGGCAGGTGTGCAACACTGCAGAAAAGACCAAGAGTAAGAAAATAAAGCACTTAAAGAATGCTTTCAATACTATTTTTAATTGTTATTTGAAGCTTACTGTTGACCTGAGTTTTGTAAAGCCACAAAGTCTGGACACAAGGACTCAAATATCCTCCCCCTAATGTTGGACTTTTCAGTATGCCTTTGAACTCAGTCTTCTCTGAAAGTGTTGTAACTGAAGGAGAGCACATGGATGGTTGGTAGGAGTGGAATTTTTTTAAAAAAAATGAAAAGGGCTTAGTTTCCAGCAGTTGCAGCAGCTGTTACATCTGTCTCTGGGTTTTCTGAGCTGAAATACAAGTAGAAAGAGAACAATGTTTTAGTACATGTTACTAGTACAATTAATAGAGTGTGTGTGCAAAGAGCCCACCTTCACTCAACTACAGCATGAACCAATCCATTTCTGAAAAGTAGCAAAAGGAAAATGTTAGGTGGAAGATATATACTTTGCCTATGGTGACCCTCACACTGTGCTATTAAGGAGACTTCAAAAACAATATTCATACACAAAAATTAACAGTGGAAAAAAAATGTTAGCATAATAATTTTATTTCTTTTTTTCTTGTCACATGCAAATTTTCCCTGATATACGTATTTATATTTTCTTCTCATGGTTTGTTTATTTATATATATATATATATATATATATATTACTGCATACACAAACAAACACACACACATTGAGATTTGTGTGTAATTTTTTGGGATGGTAGGTGCAAATGTATAGCAAGATATGAGCCAAATAAAGCACTAGTACTGCTAAAGTACTAGTTACTACAATGATCCAATTTATAACATTGTTTCAGATATATTGAGTGTATTTTGACTACAACAAGATAAATTTGCTTCTAGTATTCTGCTCCAACAAATAAGATCTGTATTACGTTTCTCTCTTTCTCCTTATTAAATTAGTTTTGAAATTTCACACAAAAACTACTTTTCCCTAATTCCTACAATGTTATATGAGTATCTAAACCGGTAAGATACGTGTGGCAAAACATATATATGTCTGGTAAAGTTTAAAATAAAATATACAAAAATTAATAATTCATCCCACCATTGAAGTGCAGCTAACCTTATTTTTTAACTTAATATTCCCTATGGCTTCCCTGTGTCCTTTTTAATGCAGTAAATAATGTCCTCACTTCCCTCCTCTTCTAATACACTCCACTTCTAATATGATCTTTCCTTTTCTACTTAAGAAAGATGTATTAGGTTTATTAGCATTGGTATAGCTGTCAGCTTTGCACTCTGCATATTATTAACAAGACCAAATTAATTTTGATGAAAAGCCAATGTGTTACCATGTTAACAATGCCCAAATTTATTCAGTCTGTAGGCAAACAGCTGGTCCTTCTCCAAACTTTACACAATACAGGTATCGCCGAGCAGGCTGTCATTACACCGAGCATGTGTGCCTTCAGTGATGAAAGCAGAGATCCAGCTGTTCAATAGCTATAGTATATATATATATATATATATATATTCCAAATACAGAACCACATACTGGACAATGTGCGATATACAAGGAGTGTTTTATACATTAATTATTGTTAGTCTAGATTACCCATCAATCTATCTCATCATGACTAGCAAAAAAAACTTACAATTTGGTACGTAACTATAGAGCAGGTTAGCCCAATTTAGTATGTGTGGTTATATTCCTACTTATGCTACCTAATCTGGAAAGCATAATTCTTTAGATTCAAATAGAAGAATAGAATAACAGAGTGGAAGGCACTCTAGTCCAACCCCCTGATCAAGCAGGAGATCCTATACCGTTTCTGACAGACGGCTGTCCAGTCTCTTCTTGAAAGGCTCCAGTGATGAAGCTCTGACAACTTCTGAAGGCAAGCTGTTCCATTGGTTGATTGTTCTCACTGTCAGAAAATTTCTCCTTATTTCTAGGTTGAATCTCTCCTTGATCAGCTTGCATCCATTATTCCTTGTCTAGCCTTCAGGTGTTTTGGAAAATAGGTTGACTCCCTGCTCTCTGTGACAGCCCTCAAATATTGGAACACTGCTATTCTTTCTTTTCTGGTTGTAGACAGCGTATAATCACAAGGCCCCAAAAAGCATTATCTGTCATAAGAAAAAGGACATTTGCTGATGTCAAGGGTACCTATCTTTCCTCTCCAAATCAGAAGCTTCCAAAAGCTAAGACTAATTCTGGTGCAAAAACAATATACTGGCAAGTAATTTGCTTTGTTAAGTAATCTGCTTTGGCAACCATCAAATCAGCAATCTAATAGAACATGATTATATGAGTTCACATGGCAATGCTATTAACCCACAGGGCAATATGCCACTGGAACAACTTACAAAATGTGCTCCATTATTATCTCTTCTGAACCCTTCCTCCCAGTATTTCTATAGCATATAGAATATATCTGGTTTATAAACAACAATAACTCTAATATAATATTATACAAATAGTTATATAACAGTGCAGTAACAATAAATTAAAACAACCTCATTAATTATACATCCCCCCAAAAATGTATGTATGTATGTATACATGTATATTATATATTTTTTTAAAAAAGTAAAGGTTTCCCTGTCAGTCATGTTCAACTCTAGGGCACTTGCTCATCTCTGTTTCTTGGCCAAGGGAGCCAAGGCCAGTGTGGCTACAGACCAAAGGAACACAGAATGCTGTGGTACCTATGAATCTACCGTATTTTTCAGAGTATAAGACGCACCTTTTTGCCCCCCAAAAGGGGGTGAAAATTTAGGTGCGTCTTATACACCGAATGTAACCTGTGCCTCACAGCAGTTACCTCCTTGCAAGCAAACAGCAGGAAAAAACAGGTCTTTTCAGCTTCAGTATAGGTTAATTAGCACAAGTTGATTAGATCGGCCTCCCGACTCTCAGCTGATTTGCTCTCAACTGTTTTGCGCAGGGCTCTGCTGCTTGCTGCAAAGAGTGCTGGAGCAAATTTTTTTTCCCCTAGCTATGCTGAAAAACGAAACTGAAAGTAAAGCAGGCTCTTTGCTGCAACATGGCAAAATGAGGCAGAGAAGATTTCTTTTTCTTTTTCCTCACCAAAAAAGATAGGTGCAAACAATGGGAAATTTAGGGCAAAAGAGGAGAGTTCAGGATTTTAAAACACAAAAGAAAAAAGGAAAAATAAAAACGGGAAGGGAGAAAAAGAAAAAGAAATGAAAGAGAAAGGTGTTATACATATTTAGAATTGAAATATGAATAGTAGTAAGAAATAAAGGGGAAATCATGATTGTAAAAATGAAATGAATAATAATTGGAATATTTTTCTATATGGGCAAAACTTTGGGTTATTGGGAGAGTTTAAGATGTGAAAATGAGTAACATAAGGGGAAAGCTCTATTTAACTAGGGAATTGTAATAATTGAGATACTATTAATTGTATATTGTGTTGAAAGCAGAAAAGGTTAAGTTGTGCTTTGGAGGAATATATGGGGGAAATTATTTGGTTTATTATTATTGGTAAATATAATTAATTGATTTGTAAGAAATTGGATTGCATGGAAATAATTGGAATATTCATGTTCATATTGATTAATATACAAAAAAGATAGTTATATAACTGATGATTGATTTATATTAAAATGTTGAATTTGTATTAAACAACTGTAATATTACATAATTAACCAATGTGAGAATGGATATAAAAATAGATGACAATGGGAAGGGATATAATATAGAATAGAAGAGAAAATTGAATTTGATTAAGATGAGAGATGAGAGAAGGTTAATATTGGTTTTTTAAAAAAATAGATGAGGAATAAATATGGCAAAAAGGAAATATAGAAATTGTAAATTTAATTGAAATGACTAAACACTGTTTAAATTTGTGAACCGGCCAAATACTCTGTTCAAAGAAAATACATTGTATGTTTGTATGTGTGTTTGTCTAAAAAATAAAAAAAAACTTTTTTAAAAAAAAACAACCAAAAAAGGTAGGTGCGTCTTATACTCTGAAAAATATGATACATACATTTCAGGGATGGATTCTACTTACCTTTCTACCAGTTCACAAGAGGATTGCGCACATGCGCAAGCGAAGCAAGCGGGTGTGTCTTGCTTCTGCGCATGTGGAGATCACCGATGACAACATCCGGGGTGGTAGACAGGGCCTCCCACCGGTTTTACTACCAGTTCTTGTGAACCGGTCCGAACCGGAGGCAACCCACCACTGATACATTTGCATACTTTTGAACTATTAGATAGACAGGAACAGGGGCAAGTAAGGTTCTACATTTAGGCAAGAAAAACAAAATGCACAGGTACAATATAGGTGGTACTTCGCTCAATAGTAGTAACTGTGAGAGGGATCTTGGAGTCCTGGTGAACAATTATTTAAATATGAGCCAGCAGTGTGCTACAGCTGCCAAAAAAAGCCAACACAGTTCTAGGCGGCATAAACAGACGGATAGAATCAAGATCACGTGAAGTGTTAATACCACTTTATAATGCCTTGGTAAGGCCACACTTGGAATAATGCATCCAGTTTTGGTCGCCACGATGTAAAAAAGATGTTGAGACTCTAGAAAGAATGCAGAGAAGAGCAACAAAGATGATTAGGGGACTGGAGGCTAAAACATATAAAGAACAGTTGCTTGAATTGGGTATGTCTAGTTTGATGAAAAGAAGGACTAGGGGTGATATGATAGCAGTGTTCTGATATCTCATGGGCTGCCACAAAGAAGAAGGAGCCAAGCTATTCTCCAAAGCACCTGAGGACAGGACAAGAAGCAATGGGTGGCAACTAATCAACGAGAGAAGCAACTTAGAGCTAAGGAGAAATTTCCTGACAGCTAGAACAATTAATCAGTGGAACAACTTGCCTCCAGAAGTTGTGAATGCTCCAGCACTGGAAGTTTTTAAGAAGAGATTGGACAACCATTTGTCTGAAATGGTATAGGGTTTCCTGCTTAAGCAGTGGGTTGGATTAGAAGACCTCCAAGGTTCCTTCCAACTCTGTTATTCTATTCTATTCAAGTAATGGGAACTCACCTTGGTCACACAGGTCTTGAACCCAGGATGTCAGCTCTCCAGCTGACAAGCTCAGCATCTTTAACCACTGAGCCATCATGCTCTATATTATATTATATATGCTAAATTGAACAGTTTCAGTTTCCATTAAATATTAAATTTATTTGTAAAAAAAATGTAAGGGAATCCAAAAAGTCAACATCAAAACAAAAGAAAGGTATTTTCAGGACTCAGTGTAGTGTATTATTTAACATGTTGTGGAAAACACTAGGGGAAGAGAGGTAATACAGTGTCTTGGGCTCTTAAACAAATGGTGCATATTATACATGACAAATAAAAATCATGATTATCATGCTTCTATAAAACATGTTTAATTTAGCCAAAGCAAATAAGGGAATATTTGCAAATTGTCCCAAAGAGCATATATATATATATATATATGACGGGTGGGTTCTACTTACCTTTACTACCGGCTTGCAACAGGATCGCACATATGCGTGTTTGCTTCATGCATGTGCATGCCTTGCTTCTGCACATGCACAGAAGCTTCTGTGCATGCGCAGATCACCAATGACAACATCTGGGGTGGTGCGCAGGGCTTCCCACGGGTTTTACTACCGGTTCTTGAAAATTGGTCCGAACCGGGGGCAACCCACCACTGATATATGGAGAAGCTAACTCAGTCCAGTAAAAGAATGGAAGAAATCAAGTGAAGATAGTGACCTGATCACAAATTAGTAAAGACATATTCGTTCTTAGAAATGAATATTTTAAGCTTCTAAATTAGACAGTTTAATTTACTGATCTTTTGTGTAAGCAGATGTGATGTGGAAAATCCATAAAACAAAATGATTAAAAATACAACAGGTGCCAGGAGGTCATGGCAAAACAGTGACAAATCATTTTTAAAACTAATCAGAAATATATAGTTGATCACAACCGTCTAACCATCTTTTTTAATTGTTAAACTGTAGGATATCTCTGTTGGAAAAGAATTCCAGCTTTTAAAAATAAGGAAAATCTAGAAAAGTTCAAATCCGCATGCATGCATTTCATTAAACTTTGTATGCTCTGAAAGTCTTTTTAATCTCTGAATTCTATTCGCTCTATCTAACCATGGCCATTCTTTTCATGTCAAAACCATGAATCATATCAATATGTTGAATGTTGCATTGTGGTTGCTATTTCAAATAATCCAGTTACATACATTCCAAAAAAACATCAAATGAATGTATGGCAGCCAGGACAAAGAATAATATAATAATATAAAGTCATAAAGCTGACCGAAGATTTAAACCATCTCTTAAAAGTGTGAGTGTCTGCATAAACTCACACACGACAAAGAGAATCTAGATTTATATGTTGATCCTTTTATTTTGAAAGAGCAACAGTGTGCTTAAAAATTTGTACAAGGGCTTTTTTTCTTCTTGGCACACATTATTTTCTAGATGGTGGCCAGGTATTATTTTTTTGTAAGTATTTTATATATTCCTAACAAAATCTGCAACTGTGATTTAATTTTAATGATTTTCAGATCAATTCTGAGGGCAAAATTCTTCCAAGTGGCAGCATCCATACAAATAATGGTAACAACTGTTCTTTTTTTGATGTCAAGGTTCCCTGTGAATTTTTTTAAAAGAATTTCATAATTCTTTAATAAATTAATTATAAATTAATTAATTATCAATAAATTAATTTGAATTTTTTTTTTTTTGCTGTAAGATGGCTAAAGAAGTATACTGAAAGATCAGTGTGCATTATTGTCGGGAGATTCCCACAGTAGTAAATGTGGCAGGCCTGAAGGCCCAATGCAAAAGATGGCTTCCAGGCCTGACAATTATCTTATTTCCTGTCAGCACAAAATTGAATGTTGCTTTACATGGCCATATAAAAATAGAGTTTAAAAAATAAATAGAGCCATTATAGAATTTAAAGGGCACTAATGTTCACTGTGTACAAAGAAAGGTTAAGGTTGTACATTTACTTTTATTTTTATTTTTTATTTTTTATTATTTTTTTTTATTGAAAAAGTTTTTCAAATACAAGTTTTTCCCCCTTTTCCTCCCTTCTTCCCCAACCCGCCCTCACCACCCATCCCCCCCTGTGACTTCTTCTTCACAATAATAAGCTAATTCATAATTAATTACATAATATTTTATCATGCCCTTACTCACTCCTCAAAGTACTGACCTTTAGCATAGTATTCTTATAACTCCGCTTTTCTCCGCTTTTCAC